TGAATGTCCCAGTGCCTTCTTTCAGTTATTCCCAAGCCTCATCAGAAGACAGCCAAGTGGATAGCCCTGTTGCAGTCGCATTTCTATCATTCAGCGTCAAACATTTTCCAGGACCTGTGCGCTTTTTGTTGTGATAATGGTGAKCACCCATATGACCATTCTCTTTTTCATTTTCAGTCTGGTATCCAATAATCACATGAGATAGTGAATGCTTCATTATAAAATAGCCTTTGTGGTAGATGAACCAACCATGGGCCAATAGAAACACTCTGAGAATGTTTCAAGTAGGCTAGGCTGAGCTATGATGTTTGGAAGGTTAGATGTATCAAATGCATTTTTGACTAATGATATTTTTAATTTACAATGAGTTTGTTGGGACATAATCCCACTGCAAGTTGAGGAGTAGCTGTGATTTTGATTACTTCTTCCTACTGGTATATGGACCATATATTTTTTTTTGTTCATTTGCATGTCTCATAACTTGTAGTTGAAAACTGGTGTTATGGTTTAGATGTGAGGTGTCCCCCCAAAATCCCACATGTGAGACAATGTGAGCAGGTTCAGAGGAGAAAGGATTGGGTTGTGAGAGCCTTGACCCAATCAGCGAATTAATTACCTGATTAGAATAATTGAGTAGTAATTGAAGGCAAGTAGGGTGTGGCTGGAGGAGGTGGAGCATTGTGGGTGTGGCTTTGGGGTATATCCTTGTATCTGGTGAGTGGAGTCTCTCTTCCTCCTGATCACCATGTGGCTGCTTTCCCCCTGCTACACTCTTCTGCCATGATGAGCCCCAAAGGAATGTAGCCAGGTTTCTATGGACTAAGACCTCTGAAACCATAAGCCCCAAATAAACTTTTCCTCCTAAAATTGTTATGGTCAGATATTTCAGTCACCCCAGCAAAAAAGCTGACTAAAACAACTGGGTTTGAATTATATAATTTGCCAACTCTTGAAATCAGATTCTGCCCCTCCCAAGAGTTTGTTGTTGCTGCTGTTATTCATGTTTGTTTGCTGAGTGATTTTCTGCACTGATTTTGTGCYGTCTGTATTCTTTGTCTTTTGTGGCCATTGGTCTTTCTGCTCAGTTGGCTTAGTGGTCAACTAATGATCGAACAGACATTTCCTTAAATGCCTGGGACTATGTAGTCGCCCAGACTTTGAAAAAGGGCTTTCACTTTGTGAAAGTGTTAGAGAATGCCTTTAATGATCAAACCGACAGTTAATAAATTGCCTTACCCTGCACTTCCTCTCTCCAGCCCCAAGGTTAGCCTGAGGATCTTTTTAGGTCTTTTCTATGCATGCCCACAGGCATGGGCCCACAAACATCTGATCATACACTTGTGGCCTAAATCCTCAAGGATGTGGAGAGCCTTTCAAAGCCTCTATGAATGTCTCACTCCCTAGTTTCCCCTTAAAGCCATTTCTTAGCCCATTGTTCACTCTGTTAACTAGCAGCTGACATTCAACACTCGCCTCTAATTATTTTCAACAAATGCTCTGAGTGGGGATAATTTTCACACTGGGTGAGCTCTGAGCCAACAATAGCCTTGCAAGGGTGGAGTCACTTGGGGGGAATAACCAGACAAGTCAAATAATGAAGATTTCCCTAGAATGAGACTTCTAAGGAGCTTTACTGTGCCTCTGGTGGGGGCCAGATCCTGGTGTTCACTGGTATTGTGGCATACAGGTTTTCAAGTCTACTGCAAAGAGCAGATGGAGAGATGGAATAAGTCAAATTAAGGCAACAAAAACTCTGCCATTCATGCTGAGATTAAGACTTTTTATAAATAAATGTTATAAATGCTTTCCCAATTGCTGTAAACCTAAGGTTAGTTTCCAGAATTCTGAGAAATTTGATTCCTAAATTGTAGTGAGCTTTCTTATTGCTTTTATTGAGAARAGAGAGTTTTGGAGATTCTTACTTCTCTATTTCTGCTGATTTCACTCTTTTATTTGACCATATCATGAACTACAGATTATTCTAATATAAACAATAATTAAGACTGGAAAATATTTTCACTATAAGCATACAAGATGAGGCTAGCATATAGTTAAGACTGTTTTATTACTTGTGACTTGTTTAGGGATTACGATAAGTAAATCTTTGTTTAGTGTGAAAACTGAGCTGCCATTGTAATGCCAGACTCATGGGACCCCAATAGACCTCCAGGAGCCGAATCTGATGCAATCACACAAGAGTCTTTATTGCAAGCTCGAGCCTGGACTCACAACTGTTCCTGATGCAGCAGTCCCAGGGAGTGAGTCCTGATCCTTTGTTCAGTGAGATTTTATAGGTTTGGGGGGATACTCTATGCATCACAACATCACACAGCAAATCATTCCATACCTCGGGAAAATCAAACAACAACTCTTAACATTGATTAGCACATTCAATGGCGGGAACAAGATGGATAGGGATGATTGGTTAGTACAAGAAGGGGATTCTTTTGAACTGATGGGTTTAGGCCACATGGGGTGTACGTGCTAAACTACATGATTTCCCAACATGTTATCAACCACCATAAACTACTGGGAAGGTCATCTGGCATCCTAGGTATTTCCCTGTCTCACGCTGATTGGAGTTTGCTAGGGGGGTTGCTATGGGTCCTCACCTAGCCTAACTGAGTCAGGGACACCTGGGCCACAGACCTCTCCTGTTATTTACAGACAAACAACTCAGCAGGGTGGGTGTGTACTTAGGARTGCTCTGTGGTTTTTTCYAAGGACAAGGGTCATGCCCCCTTCCTTAGGACAGGCCTTGAGGTAGAAGCTGCTGTTATTTATTTATTTTTAAAAATGGAGCCACATTAGTTTCTCACCATCTTCCGCATTCCTTGATTTAGCCACCCAGCCAGCTGGCCAGCCCCAAGCAGAGCATCTACCACAATCAGGGCCATATACTGTAATTCCAGATACAAGTGGTAAAAATATTTGAAAAGTGATGAATTCTGACTTCTGACTTATTTTGAGTAAGGAATAAAATAGTTTAATTTTTTTTAAGCTCAAGTACTCTAGAAGAATCTAATGTCACCTTGAGAATAAGGGATTTAAGAGCTAAACCTTTAAGAGAGTATGTAAAGTAGAAATAGAAAATGTTCTTAAATAGTTTGTCCTAAGAGGAAGATTAGAAATTGGTCAAATAAAGGCCCTTGGGTTTATGAGTTCAAAGTGAAACCAGTCTATTGATGAATAAAACATTTTCCTGAATAAATATTATAAAATTTTTAAAAATTTACTTATGAAATACCAAGGAAATGAGATTCTTGACTGAACCTTTTTCTGAGATCTGGGAAATTCATGTCCATTGAATTAGTTCCCCCACTTCTTTCTTTCTATAGAAAAGTCGGAAAAATAAATGATGAGGTATAAAGTAATCCATTCCCAATCCCCAAATTGATAGCAATAATGTTAATAACAGTCTATTTTATATCAAAGAAGAAAGCTTAAGATAATTGAAATGGAAATGAGTGTTTAAAATGTAGAAACCTTTTAGTACATTCTATTTCTACTTATTTTAAGCAAATTATTTTACTTTAGTATGTATCTGTATTGTGTTCTTTGCGGGGGGTACTTCACTATTTAAAAAAAAATGTTTTCCTTATAAGATAATATGAGTATTTGTTTGAAACTATGAATGTTCAAGATGATGGGCAGCTTGAATATCCTGGGTGGATTATTTCACAAGGTAGGAATGCACCCAACATCACACTGTGGCTCAGAGATGCATAATTATTATTATTAATCAATTAAACTGAATACATAAGAACATAATTTAAAATTGTATTAAGTGAGATCAGTGATAATTTTTCCTTCTCTATGTCAATTTATGGCACTCAGTTAACCTTTTTAAAGTATATTAGTTAAGATTGAGAAAAATGCCCAAATTTTCTAGATAAGAAAGGGATTTTGTTATATGGACAATACATTATTTCTCTGCTTACCTGGTACAGCCAGGAACCGTTTTTCAATGTTAAATAGGAGAGGGAAAGGGAGAGGGAGAGGGTCAGAGAGAGAGAGAGAGAGAGAGAGAGAGAGAGAGAGAGAGAGATGTGTGTGGCAATTTGGCTTAAATGACACAAACATGCCAGATCTTGGCTTCACACTAATTAAGGTAGAAAAGCATACAATGTCCTTGCCTTGTGCTGGATGCTCAGTACAGCTGAAATGTCATTGCAAATACAGGAGGAGAGGGGCTTTTCAGGTGCCTAAACAGGAGTTCAGAGAACCCTGGACTGACCCTGAGCATTGGGGCCATGTGGCCATTTGTAGGGAAACATGACTCTTGGAGTTCTGTGGGGATCTTTGATCAGGTCTCTTGCTGGAGAACCTGCTCAGTCCCAGGCTGGGTTTTGGAGATGTTAATCACCGGGTCACTTTGAGAAATTTTTTTCCAGCCAGACTCCCAAATTAAAGCCATTCCAATGAGAACCTAGAGAATAGTGCAGGTCATGTTGTATAAACCAGGTCGGACTTTGAAAAATGAAATGTCTTTTTCTTAACGTCGCTAGTACAAACAACCGGCTTATGACTGCTCCCTGAAAATCTAGGCAACACCACAGGGTCTTTGTTGCTAAGTTTCTAGTACATTTATATCAACAATTTCTGATTTTAGGATGGTTCAAAGGCTGGGGCATCATTTAATTTATTTTATCTTTTGCATCTGCAATATAATAAAGAACTGTCTAGATTTCATATGGCTTTTCATTTTGCCATTATGTAATTCCCCTGTATAAGTATTTTTATTCTCATTTTAAAATTAAAGAACTCAAAGCCCGGGTTAAAGGACTTAGTTTTCATTACAGAAATAGCAGGGCTGGAATTTGAACCCAGATCTCTCCACCTCCCAAATCCTTTCTTTCTTATGTATCASCCTCCCTCCTGATGGAGTCTGTAGTTTCCAAGTCATTTTTCCTGAGTGCCCCCTTACTGAACATTTTCTTCTCATCATCTAAAGAGGATTAAAAATGTGCATGCCTCTGCGTTAGGAAGACTCAGCTTACCTAAGTGTTCCAGTCCCGGGAGCCCCCTGTTTGCTCCATAATAAAAGAATATAGCAGAAGCAGGAGTTCTGCTTTCCAATGACTTACATCACCCTGCAGACAATTGGCAGGCAGGAGAGGGGCAGCTGCCACACTCTTCAGATATCTCTCTATTTAAAGTTCAAAGAGACGCTGGATAACAATAAGGAAGAGGTAAGTGTGCCCCGCGGCGCCACTCCACAGCAGGAAGAATGGCCGGGAAAGGTAAGAGCCAAGGCACAGATTCTTKAGCAAAGAAGGATTCGGGACTTGGGTTTATTTGTGTTTCTTAGCGTTTGCATTCTAAAGAACAGGGTATCTCTGCTAAAGGATCATTAGCCATTTTAATGTAGCTGCCAAAAGGGAATTCGATAGATATGCCGTTCAGAAATCATGCTTATGAGTTGTACTGAATTTTGAAAGAATCAGACAATAAAAGGAGCTTAATCTTATTCATGCTCATTTTGAAAGATGAGTTGTCAACCCCGATACTTCTCTGGATGTGAGGTCGTTGGGGTGCTGGGCCAGGGTTAAGGACAGCCAAGTTCTGTGCTGGATCCACTAATGGGCCAGGTGAATTTGGAGCAGTCGCTGGGCTTCTCCCAGCCTGCTTTCTGATTGTAAAATGAGAAAATTTGGCTTAGTCATCTCTAATAAGCTCCATACCTAAATTTATTTTTTTTTCTGCTCTTTAAACATTTTTCATGTTTACATAATTGACTCCAATATAATAAAATAGGCTGAATATATCTGTGCTAAGATGTGTTCTTTAAAAACCTGCAGGAATTTTTGCTTTTAATGCCAACAACGACCTGGTACAATATGTTTCTTCTCGTCGTCCCCCTTTTACAGATAAGGAAACTGACACATGGCTAAGTTTAGTGTCTGTCCACAGGCACTGGAGTGGTGGCAGCAGGTCTGGGCTTGGGCAGTCTGGACCCACAGTGCAGTGCCCTTAAGAGCACCTCCAGCGGTCACCACGTGGTGTGCTCAGAGCTGGACAAAGAAAGAAGCATTTCGAAATTACTCTCTGGATTTAAAAAGAAGTTTTGCTCTTGTGCTGATAACATGAGTGTGCAGAGTATGTCGGGGCTTATGTACCCCCATTTCCAAACAGTGCTACACATAGAGGAAAAGCCAGAAATATCAGTGCTCAAAGAACACTAACGAGGGTTACATGTGAGTGCCGAAATGCATGGCAAGTTATACTGTTTTACAAGGAATAGAAAATAATAGAATATTTACTTTTAGAGCTTTATTAAATGCAAATTTCATTAAAATATGCCTTATTAAATTTTATTAAATATGCTTGCATAAAATATTTATACGTGTTCAATTGAAAGATCAATATTAATTTTCAAGTTCTTTGAAACTGACAAAAATCCATTCTCATTTATATGAACAGTTAAACATTTACTGTTCTATATTTTCACTGTACTGGCCCCTTAACTCACGAACAGGCTCTTGTCCAAATGAGAGTCAAGGGCATCTACTGCTTTACACGTACAGCCAGAGCACACGATGGGCAAAGAGCATTCTTATTAACCGATTCACGCCTCGTTCAAGGTCACAGTGAAAAGAGCAGCAAGGGAAGACCACTCTAGTCATCAGTTAAGAGAGACGGTCGACCCTTGTAAAAATAGCTTGCAAGTATTAAAGTTCCTTTAAACTTCAGAGAGTTTGCTTTTATGAAAGCATGTTCTAATTTTAGAAATGTCTTGTCTCTTGATGACTTTATATTAATAGCGTTTAAAAAGCCCTTCACAGTTGGAAGTGCTGGGAGGTGTGGTGGGGAGAGCACTTGGAAGAGAACATGCCTCCCTGTAGCTAACGGCAGACCTGGCTGTGCTTTCCAGTTAAGAATTGGAGTCCTGAACCCTGATTCTGAGCTGTCTTCCTGTGCTGTCTGAACCTTTCCACAAGGTGTATGTGCACAAGTGTTTGCTTGAATGAGCAGGATTGATGCAGTGACTATTTACAAATTGCTTTTCACTGGTAAAGAGACAAATAGGAGGGGCCAGAGGAATATGATAATCAAAACATCTTCCCTTCGTGAGTTGTTGGGTTATTGCTGCCTAGAGATTCCAGTTCAGTGCTGGTGGTTATAATGAACAAGTTTAAAGAAATAGTCTCTTTTCTTCATTTGAAAATGATTATGTAAGGTATGCTCTTTTCCTTTCCCTGTGGAATATAAAGCCAGTCTTTGAGACCAAGAACAATCCTCCAACACTTCTCCCCATTATGATTTCCAGTTTTGTGGGAACCACCTCCGAGTTACAGCGGGTGGTGGTTGGGTAAGCAGCCCTCTAGGTGTCATTGCACAAATGACAGATGTGTTCTGTGTACACTAACCCCACGGGGCCTGGAGTTGACAAAGCCTAGCATGCATTGTACCATTTGACCCTTACCACTCCAGGAGGTAGGTATCACACATCTTGTCACCTAGACCTTCAAGTAGGGAAGTTCCAGCTGAGAGCTGCCCAAGGTCACACACTATAAAAGGACAGCCTTTGGTATTCCAAGGGGCTGGGGCTGACCCACAGGCATCCTTAATACAGAAGAAAGAATACCTATGCACGGGATGCTAGGGAGTGAATTTTCCCTTCACATTACCATACACTTATTCTCTTGATCAGAAGATTTAACACCAAAACGACTTAACTAATCATTTTCCTTTGTTTATTTTTAAGCGGAGTCCACGTTACAGCACTTTCTGGTCCCCATTCTTCTCCTGATCGGCTGGATTGTGGGCTGCATCATAGTGATTTATGTTGTCTTCTCTTAGGCAGGTGAGGGTTTTAACAATTGAATAGGTTTGTTTATTCATAGCATAGATTGCTTCAGAAATATTCTCTATTTTCCTAATGGAACTTTTTGTCATTTAGGCAAGAAGACCTCAGATTGACATCTTTTAGAAGACTTCAGAAAGATGTGGATGTGACTGATTAATAAATGTGTCTCATGTTAAAAAAAAAAAACTGCGGTGTTCAGCATCACTTTATTAGTTTGGAATATTAGCTGGTGCTTTGGTTCATAAACATCTCTTCAGGAACTTATTTAAAATCATTGGTTAAAAAAAGATTATAAGAAAACATGGGTGAATTTCTCTATATCCAGAGAGTAGGCAAACTCTAACCATACATAAGCAATGGGGAAAAATTTGATAAATTTAATTAAATATGTTGCCCCCCCCTCAAAAAAATATGGGAGAATGAACTGAAAGGAAGAACAGACCAYTCATACAAAACAAAGTGTAAAGTTAAACTTGGCTCTTAATCTCTTGCTAATAACAAGAAAAATGAAATTAAAACTACTATTGAGGAGCCATTATTCACTTACCAGGTATAAAAAAATAAAGATGCTTACATATTGACAATGTGGGAAATAGCATGTTCACACACTGTCTTTGCAAATCCAAAATGGAACAACTTTTTGAGAGAGGGTCTTTCTCTGTTGGCCAGACTAGTCTTGAACTTTAGGACTGAGTGATCATCTTGCCTCAGGCTTCCCAGTAGCTGGGACTACAGGTGTAGACCATTGCACTAGCCTATGTACCGCATTCTGGGGGGATTTGGCAGCTGGATCTCTCTGAATGCACTTTGTTTTACAGTTTTTTTTTTTTAATTCTATAATTATTTTAGAATTTGAAAAGGAAAAAGTAATCCCCCAAATTTAAAACAAGCTAGAACAAACCTAATAGAGTATCAAGTTGGTGGTATAGACACAAAGAGTACAGAAATCTCCCCAGTGACTTTAAAACAATGTTTCTTTACTGTATATGTTGTGAGGCAGACAGCTTAAAACCATGTTCAGTGATGTTTTTGTTAGTGGTAATATGGATATTATTGGTTTGAAAGTCAGACCATCAGTATAAATGTCAAATAAATGCCTGGTGATCTTGAATTGAATAGCAACTATTAATATGAACTCACTACTTATTTTCCTTCTTATAAAAAATAAATATGTTTCATAGTTCTGATCACTGAAAATGCCTGGTTGGGGAGGAGAACCCTGCTTTCATTGTGTCTTGAAGGACCAGCCTCCACTCAAGATGGCCAGGGGTCCTGTGTGGGAGGCCGACATAACCTGTGACCAGTGTTGGCTTCCCCTCCTGGTCGGCTGAGGCACTGTTGGTCACCCTGTGCTCTGGTTACTTAGGTAACTGAAGACAGTAACCCTGATCTTGAGGGTAGTGAAAATGCAAATGTGCCTTCCCACATCCCCAGGGATCGAGCTATGCTCACCTGTCCTTGTAACCCTGCCCCCTTTGACCTTCATTGGATGGAAATTTCTAAAGAATCTAGAGTCCCCCCAGTAAAAGTCCACTCTGAATCGTGCTTGAGCTCTCTCACCAGCCTCTCATGAGACTCCTCGCTCGCCCATTTGGGGAGCTTGAGGCCGAGGGCAGAGGAGCCATCTGGGGCTTGATTTAAAGGTAAATTGTGTGTCTGTGTTTTATTTGATGCCTTAGGGAGTTCACTCCGGTGACCCTTAGTTGAGCTGTCTGTGGGGGTCGTACACGGCAGTCCTGGCCTAGTCTGAGGCAGGAAAAACACAATGTGATTTGCACCTTTAATTGGATAATTCAGTCTGACGACACCTGTACCCTTTGATCAATCTCACTGCCCAGAAAGGGTTAAAACTGGACCTTGCGCCCCTCCTGATAGGGCAGCAAGTACACTGGGCCACCCAGAAAGACTGCTTCCCAGACACAGTACCTCCAGGGAAACTAGTCTCTGGATCAATCTAGCAGGCCATTCAAGACAAAAATCCTGATTTCGCATTCAGCCAAGTCCAGAGTGTGGAAAACTGAAGCTCACAGCCCAGGTTTTCTAAMAAATACCTGGCACTGAGAAGTGGGGTGGGTGAGGAGCTATTCCAGAATATGCGAGAGCAAACAAAAGTGGTGTATGGACCTACAAAAGACACTTTTTTTGTATTTCTGTGATAAAGATTTAAGAGAATTGTTATTAATTTTATTCATTGTAACAATGGCAACTAATAATAGAAAACAAAAACCTTTTTCTGGGAGAGACACATACTGAGTTATCTGCTGGGGAGATGATAGGCATTTCATTAAATTATCCTCACGGAAAATAAACTAAAAAATAAATAATATTTATATTTTTTAAGGTGAGTAATAATTTCATGAGGGTTTATTAGAGTCTTGGATATATTTTTGTGCATAAACATTTTTTTTTTTTGGTTTCTTTCTTCCTCGCAGTGGCTCTGTGTTACAAACCACGACAAATGCAAATAGTTTTGAATGGAATAAAACCTGGTTTTATTCCTGAACCTCACCCCTGAGGTTTCTGGTTTAACAATTGTGTGGTGGGGCCAGGAGCCCGCACTTTAATGAATTCTCCCAGGGATGCTTGGTCACCTGAAATCTGAGACCATTGCTTTAGGGAAGTGGTCCCTAGACTGTAGTKCAGGCCACCATCCCTGGAGATCTCAAAACACACGCCACATTCTCAGAGTGTCTGACCCAGAAGCTCTGGGGAGTGGGCTTAGGAACCTAATTTCTATCAGGGTTTCAGGTGATGCTGCTGCTGCTGGCTCAGGATCCCTATTTTGAGAGTCACTGCTCTAGAGGGGACCTGATTTCTTCCTTGTAACTCTGGCACCCTCTACCATTTCATCCTCTTCCATTAATTTTTCTACAGACCTTAATTTCCTCATCAAAAAGTAAGAGAAGATTTTTTTTTCCTTAATTCATGATTCTTGTCTTTTAAACTCAGTTCAGCATTTTCAGAAGTCTTCCTAATATTCTTCTGTTTAAAGTAATACTTCCAAAATTTAAAGAGAAAATGCATGGAAGGTCAGGCTCACCTATGTTCATTAGTGACCTAACTTGAGTTTTCTCCAGACCTGAAAACTTACCTGTCTTGTCTCTGGAGCCAACTCCTCCAGGCTGGAAGAAGCTGGTTCATGTTTTCAAAGACGTAGGCGTTGGTCAGTATCTCCCTGGCAGCTGGAAGTCAGCATGGTGTAAGTGCATGCCACAGAGCACAGGCTGGACACTAGGGCTGGTCCCACTGGATGGGCAGCTCTGAGTTGGCTCATGTGGGCTTTCAGGGATCCGAGAACACCACCTTCTTCTTTTTCATAATTACTGATTTAATTTAAACGATGATCTGTTCATTCACTTGAACTTCATCTGGGCTGTAGATTTTTAAAGAGAGAAACTGCGAGAGCTTTAAACTCTCAAATATTTGTGCAAACTGAAGATACTATTTCAAGGTTCATGGACCTCCTGAAAGCTACTGAAAACACCCTCTAGGCTAAGCAGCTTCTACTCTCTGAAGCCCAGACTTCTTCACTACGTGGCTCCAGTTTTACTTGGAGCTAAAGACATGACCTCATGGCTTAGCTTGCTTTCTAGCTGGAGATCGGTTTCTCTTTCTTTCCCTTTTTAAAAATATTTTCAAAATTTATTTTCATTGACAAAAACTGTATATATTTGTGGTATGCAATGTGATGTTTTGACATCTGTACACCCTGTGGAATGACTAAATCCAGCTAATTAATAGATCCCATTGCCTCACATACCTATCATTTGCTGCAGTGGGAGTATTTAAAATCGACTCTCAGCAATTTTGAAAGATATAATACATTATTATTAAATATAATTACCATGTTGCAAATATATCTTCCAATCTCTGCAATCTTGGGTCCTTTGACCCACATCCCTCCCTTTGCCCACTGCCCAGCCCCTATGAACCGACATTCTACTCAGCTTCCGTGAGCAGCATGGTCTGGGACTACACACACTTGGGAGACAGTTTGGGTGGCTTTCTGCTCCTGGCATATTTCCCGTAGTGCAGGGTTGTCTTCCAGATCCTTCCGTGTTGTGGCCAGGCATGAGCTCCTCCTTCCTGAGGCTGGACCGCATTCCGCTGTGTGTATGTACCACATTATCTTCTTCCACTGGTGGATGGATTTCACATCTTGGCAACTGTGAACAGGGCTGCAATGGACTTGGGAGTGTAGATTTCTGTGACCTTCTGGTTTCAGTTTCTTTGGACACATACCCAGAAGTGAAATTTCTGAATCTCCTGGCCGACTGGAGTTTCTGAGGCGCCTCCTTGCTGTTTCCCGTAATGGCAGACTGTCTCCTTACTTCTTCCCATTGACATCGATCCTCCCCATCAGCTTCCTTGCTTTCTTAGCCTGCAGGTCCTGGCATTTTGTTCTGTACAGGCAAGATTGTGGCAACCCACGGCCAGCGTCTGTAAGAGCTTTCTCCGTGTGCACTTGGTCCTCTAGTGCGCTGAAGCTGTAGAGCATCTTGCTTCTTAGGTACCAGTTGCCCAGCCTCCTCCTGCGACTCTAAAGTCTACCTCTGACAAACATTTCATTATTTCAAGAGATCAATGTCCTTTAAACTTATTGAAACATTGTTTTTACGCAGGAATAGAAATAACTTTTCCTACAATAAGTAATTTAGTTTCATGTCTCTACATCCACAGTTGAAAAAAAATCACTGTGATGTGTAATATTTCATTATATTTAATAATTACACGAAAGCATAATGATGATACACAATGTTATTTGGGGATTAATAGTTTCATAAATGTGCATCATATTTTCCCCATTAAATTTTAAGCTATTTATGGGTGAATCCATTTCTCACCTTCCCGACTGAGGATATAGTTAACAGAAGGCAAGTAGTAAATGTGGATCAGATGCGTGATCGGTTTATTTTCTCCTTAAAACAGTACTGAATACACAATGATAATATTCTAACTTTAAATGTTAAAGGTGTCACTAGGGCAATTTAAGCTGRATTGGAGTTCTCAAAGAAGTGATCGGTGATCTTCCAACCGTAGATTCAGGTAACTGATTACATACAGACCTCACAAGGCATAAAATCTTACATGTAGAATTTCCAAATTTTTGGCTTACAGTCTTTCAGAATGCCCATATAATTATTTGAGAGGATGATTACATTGAGTTGGCTAG